CACAAGTCAGGACGTCGCTGATGATTGGCCGGTTTCAGTCATACGCTGTGAATGGCATGGTGTGAATTATTTCGGTGCATTTAAACTCCAGTAACCTCGAGCACGTCCGACTTGGGGTGATGTTAATGTGATGTAATTTCACTAGACATCACACCACAGTAGCGTTCTGTATAGTCATGCTGTACTCGCCCTAATTTGATACAGGTTTCAGGAGTTGGAATTTCACCAGACATCACCCCACAGTAGCGTTCTGTATAGTCATGCTGTTTCTGTATAGTCATGCTGTACTCTCCCTAATTTGATACAGGTTTCAGTAGTTGGCACATTGTTAATAAGGCTGCAACGTGCTGAGTGGCACTGTGACATGTATCTGGGACAGTGCAGTAGTCATGATCTTGCAATAAACTACCCAGATGTCACCACTGGTGGAAAATATTTAACCCTGGTCTTCTGTTTAGAATCAGCATGACCCCAGATCAGCTTCAGTTGTTTTTAAAGAAAGTGACCTTTGACCTATTTATGTTTTATGTCTGTAATTTTGTCTGAAGCAGATGCTGACGATCTGCATTCGAACCAGAAAAAGTCTTAATAAAAAAAAAGTCTGCAATAGAAAGTGTTCTGTAATCTGCACACTGGTCCTACATTCCTCTCTGTCCTGTATAAATCATTTGAGAGTGCTTTAATCCTCTGCAGGAAAGAGCTAATAGCTGCAGTTTTAAATCAACAGGATTTATTTGACTTGCACACTTAGGTAAGCAATGAACCGGTTGTGCTGAGTTCTTTAACACAGAAACTCACCAGACAAGACCCACTTGGACTTTTACCACTAAACTACAGAGTGCCATCCCTGCGCACACATCAAAATAGCAGTGGTAGAAGTAACCTGACCACTTACTTCAGTGGATTTAGTGATGCAATGAAATCATTTTTTAAATGCTCCTAATAAAACAGAAGAAAATAATCATTTAACAGAAAACTAATTGGTAACTGTTTTAGTAATTGATTCAGATTTTAAGTAAAATGCCATGTTTTACCTGGCTCCTCATTACTTGTTTTATCTGAGATGCTGGACTCTGGGAAGTGGCGTTTCACATACAAAGCAAAGGTTTGGGAAAAGCCCAAAATATGACTATGATTTTGCACAGCAGAACTTGGTTTCTTTCCCAGTATTTATCTGATGAATCCTCATGTTTATCTTGTGATCATTTGGATGCTCCCAACCCTTAGCTGCTTTTATACTGATGCATATATTCCTCCCTGAATGTCAGTATGAAAACAACAGGCTTCTTCTCCTGTGCTGTGAAACCCTGGAGCCTTAATCCATCCCTGTTTATTTAAAACACTGAACTTGTATTTTTATATAAACTGCTGAATCCTCCACTGAATCAAGATGAAAGGCTTTGCAGGTGGGTTTTCTGCTGCTAGACTGTACTGGACCTGCAGCAGCTGCAGCAAGATCATCAGTTTCACTTCTGTGAAAAGAGTTTTTTAAAATTGTGCCAGTTTTCTATTTAAAAACAGACTGAATAGCAGTTTAGAGAGAATTAATATGGCTGTGTATAATCCAAGGATTTTCATGGAAGAATGTAAACACTACAATTAGTGCTTCAGCTAATCGGGAAATTTCTGAACATTCACAGACTTCACACAGAAAATTAAATACCATGAATAAAAAACTAAACTGCTAATTGAATGAATTTATTGAACACATTATTATTGATACAGTTGAGATATGACCTAATCAATCAATCTGACAGCCTTTTGAGCCTCCTCATCATTAGGAAAATGATTTTGGATGCTCTGGACATCACAAGTTGTTTGCATGGTTGTGATATTTACTGTGGGGAAAGTGCTTGGTCATACCCGAGCATCATCACAGCACCTGTGTTAGGAAGTTGCCATGATGGGTTGAAACTAGCAGGCACACCCATCAGGGCCTGTGTTGTGCACGATAACCTTGTGATTGAAAGATTTGCATAGAAGGCACCTTGATATCATCATGCTAACATTTGCCTAAATTAAATGTTCATGTTGTTTAAGAATAAACACAATGTTCCACTTGGTGCCTCAGTCTGTAATCATGGACCTTAGTCAGATTTTTTAGCCTTTTTGTCTTAACTCAGGATGTGAAGAAGATCAGGAATGGATGAAAGTCATAAGATATTAAGACTATATCCTGGCTCTTGGGGATAAATAAACTGGTGCTCAAATGTAGTTTGAGAATGTATATCAAATCTTGTTATTGCAAAAAAAAAAAAACAAAAAAAAAACAATTCAGGTTAGAGCAATATATTTTTAGTCAAAAAAGGAAAAGAAGAAATAAATGCATAAATAAGGTTAAATAATCACTGCAAAGATGTACATGAACATTAATGCACCCGAATTTTGCAACAAAAATCAGCTTTGTAGGACATCGAAGAGAAACCAGACCCTGTCTCAGAAATCACCATGGAAACAGTTTTGATGATCCAAAAGCCTTGCAGCTTCACAGTACTTTACAAAAATAGATACAGTTGTACCATTAGAGTTGTCCACATAAACACCTCACTACAACACCTACTACAGTATATTATCATGCACAGGTGCCATGTTGTTTTGCAACACCAGAACTGCCACGTGACTAGCTGCTATGTCAATCAATAAGAATATCTGCTGGAGGTGTTTCAGGACAAAAGGACATGTTGGATAAAATTTCAAGGGGAAGCAAAAGCCACTGATTGCACAATGGAAACAACTTCCACAATGATGATGCATGGAGAAACATTAACAACTTATAGTGCTCTAGTGGTGACAACTGGGCACGCTCTCAGCAATGACATTTATCGAAAATACACCCAAAAAAAATCAATTAAACATCGCATGGTTCTAAGATAAAATTACATTTATCATTTAACAATATCAAATGGCAGTTTTAGTTGTTAATGATGTGTCCTTTAGGCCTACATTGTGTTGAAATACTACACAAAATATACACATCAAGCATTAATCTCTCGTAAGTGCTTGACCTTTTCTTCACATTTCAACCAAGGTACCTGCTGCAACACGCTGCATTACTGTTGTTCTACAGTTTTTGTTTACTGAATGTCAGTATATTCAGTTTATAAGAATAAGATCTGGGTTGCATCATGTGCCATATGTGATTA